CCGATAAATCCGATTCGATCCGATCCGTCGGATCCGGATCGGATTCGGATCGAATCGGATTTTTTGCGGAACACTACCTGTACTACATCTTAATTGCATATATATTGGGCAAATACATTATTAATTGATACAAAAAATCTATCATTTCTACCCGAGCGCTGAAACCAAAATTACTTTTATACCTATAAACTAGCTTTACCTATAACTGCAGTCAGATGCATAATTTTTTCGCAAGCACAAACTCACATATATAAAAACCATGTTTTCACCAGCATGAGGATCATTCTAAATTCAGCCAATCAAAATTGACTACGTTATTAATATATAAACTAAACCGGAAAAGGTAAACTCATTAAGCTATATATATTTTATAGTTAAAATTTTGTCCAAATATTCAGAATGGACTACAAAAACAGTGCTTTTCTTAATCCCACGTTTGGGCGACCAAACCTATACTCTATAGATATAATATATGGATAAAGAAAACTAAAATTTAAAGTGCATCAAATGTAGCAGCTTGTCCTCAACAAAATGGCGAAAAGTTTCAACATATATGTTGGAAAAGTTGCTAGAACCTCCAGAACAATGTATTATCTAAAGCAAAAATTTATTATGTGAAGGTGATTTACTTTGTCATAAATGTTATATGCAATATATAAGTAATCCAGTAGAAAAAGCAAAATAACAATTAAAACAAAAGCAACATGCTAAACCACCATCTAATGCAACTGAACATTCGTTACAGAGGGTATTGACATTAGTTCAACCTCAACCTCAGGCTTTAAGAAGCACTCATATTGCTATACCTACAAATATTTATAAATAACAACAAGTTGAATTGGCTTCTTTACATAATATTGTTAAAAAATAACAATCTGAATTGGATTCTTTACGCGAGCAAGTTTTAAATATATAAGAGCAATTAGCAAACGAGATGCAGAAATGCTCTGATATCTCCAAAAGTTCATTATTTTACAAATAATATTTAAATAATGCAGGTATAATAATTTATGATGGAAAATTGGAAGGCATTTAGAAGTATTTTACTATTAGAATTAATTTTTCTATTTTTTTTACAAAGCTATAATGATCGTTTAAATTTAATTTAATTTTTAGAATTAGAAAAGCTAGTTTTATTTTAAAATGTATTTTTATTAATATATTTAAAATTAATAAAATAAATTTATTTTTTTTTGATTTTTTTTTTTAGATATATCAATTTTTTCTCCATTATTTCAAAATTGTATTAAGAAAATGATGGACATTTTGTATTGACTTCAACATCGTGAAAATAGCAATAGGATTTATGATCCTGAGGAATTTCTTAATATTATTGCTTCTCAAGCATCTGAGCTACGCCAATTTTTTGATATGTTA